TCCTCATCATCATCATCGTCATCATAAACAACATCATCACCATCAGCAGCATCAGCATCATCAACATCAAACTCCTCCTCATCATCAACATCATCATCTTCATCAGCATCATCCTCATCATCATCATCATCATCAATATCATCGTCAGCGACATCGTCAGCACCAGCATCCTCATCATCCTCATCATCATCTTTAGCACCATCTTCATCAACCCCTGCATCGTCATATTTATGATGGTCCTCCTCCTTCTCATCATCATCATCATCATCATCATCATCATCATCAACCTCATCATCAGCATCATCATCAGCACCAGCATCCTCATCATCTTCATCATCATCTTCATAAACATCATCGTCAACCCCTGCATCATCAAACAGCACATCAATTAACCGACACGCTTTACAGCGCGCGCAACTCCGTTATGCTTAGACCTGCTGTTTACTAGCTGTGAGCAGCGTGTACATAACATTCAAGTCTTCGAGCCTCTGAGAGCGAGTGACCACTCAGTGGTCATAGTCAGTTTAGAACTACAGCTACCGTATCCTCTCCCACTAGAGTCAGCCTTCAACTATTGGAAGGCGGACTTTAATATCCTCATTCGAGCAGCGAGCCAGATAGACTGGTCTTTACCACAGGATTCATCTATTGAAACCTTTGGGCTATCATTAAAGAGGGAGTGAAATCATTGTGCGCCCGATTTGTGCCCCTCAAATTTCGGAAAGTTAGGCCAGTCAAACCACATTGGTTTGACAAGGAGTACAACAAAATGGCCCGACGGCGACGTAGACTATGGAACAAATTCGTGTTATCTGGCTCTGATGAGGACTACAATGCGTACAAGGTACAACGAAATCGCTGCAACAACGGGAAAACAAGCAAACGCAGAAGCCTCTAAGAGAAGCTTGCAACTGCCGCAAAAACTGCTCCCAAGATGATCTTCGCATATGTGAAGCGGCGCCTAAGGCCTATAGGCAATATCCCGGTGTTAGAAGACTCAGAAGGACAGCCCCTAACCTCGAGTAAAGATCGTGCGTCAGCATTGGCAACGCACTTCGCCTCCGTATTCGCAAGTGACCAGGTGTCTGCAATGAGGTCGACGAACACCGCTCCAGCCGAACTTAACAGCCTGGACTGCAATATTAAGGTGCGCAAGATTCTAGCAAATCTTGACGGGACGAAACCTGCTGGGCCAGATGGTATACACCCACTAATCCTCAAGTCATTACCGACCATAATTGCACCTTCTGTAACTGAACTGTTTAACAGGTCACTATTCACTGGTCTACTACCGTACGACTGGAAATGCTCAGCCGTAAAACCTATCCCGAAAGGTGGTAACCCAAGCGAAGTGGATAACTACCGGCCGATCTGCCTGACGGCAGTTTTGGCAAAGACGCTTGAGAAGATCGTGAAGAAGAGCCTTCTGCAACTTCTCGAGTCGAAACTCCTGTTAACCTCCGCACAGCATGGTTTCCTGAAGGGCCGGTCGTGCATCACCAACCTACTGTTGATGAGGCACGAATGGTTACAAGCGCGGAACAAAGGCCAATCGGTTGACGTCATTTACATTGACTTCAGTAAGGCTTTTAACAAGGTTAACCATGCAGTGCTCCTTGACAGACTGAGGATGTGCGGTGTTGTTGGTTCGCTGCAAAAATGGATCAGTAATTTCCTTATTGATCGAAAGTGGAGAGTCCAGGTGGACAAGCATCTAACTGACTGGTATCCATCGAGCAGCAACTTGCCCCAAGGCACTGTACTGGGACCGATATATTTTCTAATCCATATAAACGATGTGCCTCAGCTACTAAAATCACATTGTGCTTTGTTCGCAGATGACTTGAAAGTGTGGAGAGTAATCCGCACACTCAATGATTGCGATTTACTTCAGCAGGATTGCGACCGCCTTTCGAAATGGTCTGCAGAGGTTAACCTTCCGATCAACCCTGCCAAGTCGCAATGCATGAAATTGGGTAAATGTGATCACTTCCGAACGTACACAGCGGCTGGTCAACCGTTGCATCCCGCTCCTTTCGTGCGCGACCTGTGTGTACTCTCACGCTGCGACCTAAAGTCCATTGACAACACGAAAAGGCTGTTCCAAAACAGCCTTCGGATGCTTTGGGCTCTCAGGCGCAGCTTTGGCACTTGGTCCGAAGAGATTGCTTCTCGACTCTTCGTCTCGATAATGCGACCAATGTTGGAGTACGGCACTCCTGCATACTGTCCCATCACCCGGGGCAAAGTAGAAAAGCTTGAGCGGGTGCAGCATGTAGCCACCAGGCTGATTCCCAAATTACGAGGTATGCCAAATGAAGACCGAGGTAAGAAACTAGGGTTATACACCCTATCTTATCGTCGGCTTAGGGTTGACCTCATCATGATGCACCGGATATTACATCTGGGTGATTGCCCCATGTTGAGACAACTACTTCATCTGCGAACACCAAGCTGCACGCGAGAACACCGGTATAAACTTATCGTCCCGGATTTGAAGCGGGTCGCCCATCAACTCTGTTTCAAAAGCAGAGTGGTGAATGTCTGGAAAGTCCTGCATCAGCATATAGTAGAGGCGGGCACAGGGTCTCAATTCAAGACGCCACTAGACCAAAAATTTGCAGAGGCAAAGTACAGAGAGCGAAAGGATAAATAAAATGTTCATGTCAGAAAAAGACGAATGATGGAGCCACACAGGAAACCTCTACTCGCTGCTTCGAACCAATTCTCAGTTCTCAGTTCTCCGCATCAGCATCAGCATCATCATCATAATCCTCATCATCAGCATCATCATCGTCATCATTATCACAATCATCAGCATCAGCATCATCATCATCAACAACAACTTCCTCCTCCTCCTCAGCATCATCTTCATCAGCATCATCATCATCATCATCATCAATATCATCGTCAGCACCAGCATTCTCATTATCCTCATCATCATCATCTTTATCACCATCTTCATCAACCCCTGTATCGTCATCTTCATTATGGTCTCCCTCTTCCTTCTCATTATCATCATCATCATCAGTAATACCATCATCAATGACAACATCATCACCATCATCATCTTCATCATCATCAACATCATTATCATCATTATCGTCATCAACATCATCATCAGCAGCAGTAGCAACTGCATCCTCTTCATCCTCATCGTCATATTCATCATCGTCATCATCAACCCCTGCATCGTCATCTTCATGCTGCTCCTCATCATCATCATCGACATCATCATACTCATTGCTATCATTATCAGCATCATCATGGTCATCATCATCATCATCATCATCATCATCATCATCATCATCATCGCCAACAGCATCATCAGTATCACCGTCAACATCATCATCCTCATCAGCAGCAGCCACAGAATCATCTTCATCCTCATCATCATATTCATCATCATCATCATCAACCCCGGCATCATCATTTTCATTTTGGTCCTCATTATCATCATCAACGGCATCATATGCATTACTATCATTAGCATCATCATCATCATCTTCAGCATCACCATAATCATCAGCATCATTATCATCATCATCTTCCTCATCATCAACATAAACCTCCTCCTTATCGTCAACATCATCTTCATCAACATCATCATCATCACCATTAACATCATCATCAGCAACATCATCAGCACCAGCATCCTCATCATCCTCATCATCATATTTATCACAATCTTCATCATCCCCTGCATCATCATCTTCATGATAGTCCTCCTCCTCATCATCATCATCATCATATTCATTACTATCATTATCATCATCATCATCATGATCATAATCATAATCATCATCAACATAAACTTCCTCCTCCTCCTCAGTGTCATCTTCATCAACATCATCATAATGTATTTTAGAGAGCAAGTATACATGTTGTCGGCTGACCTGCAGCTTCACAGTGAGTTGCGTATTCGCGTGTCGAAGTCAGCGGCGGCATTCTGGAAGCTTGAATATTGAGTGTGGAACAACCATCAGCTAACCGTTGGCACGAAGCTGATGGTTTACGAGTCCATGGTACTGTCCTTTCTTCTATACGACAATGAAACGTGGACGATTTACCGTCGGGAAATGCGATACCTCGAGAGGTTCTATCAACCGTGTCTGCGAGGAATTGTACGCATCCTTTGGGGCGCCAGTGTTGCAGACACGGAAGTGTTGCGTCGAAGTGGGATGTATGCAGTGGACTGCATACTATTTGAGACACCTGGGACGGCTCGGTCATGTGAGACGTAGGGATTCAACGCGGATACCGAAACAACTCTTATACGGTCAGCTGAGTGTTGGGAAGCGGCACTTGGGAAAACCAAAGTTACGTTACCAGGACCTGATTATATTGAGCCTCACATGTTCTAGTCTTGATTACAGATCATGGGAATCGATGGCGGTTGATCGGCGTGCATGGCGCGATCTGAGAACGAAGGCAGTTGCTGAGGTGCAGGAGAAAGCCCTCATGCATGCAGATAAGAAGCGGCAAGTGCGGAAGCGGCAAGCACCGATGAACTGTTCTCCATCGATCAAGCGCTTAGTGCTGTAGAACATGTGGTTGCGAGT